TGTAAACTTGTCTGAATTGAAATGTTTCGGTGTACCTTATAAATTCATACCCTTTTTCACTCGAGCGCGTAAGAATGAACCTTCAGTCTATCCGATTCTCTCTGCTGTCGAACGCCTTTACCGCGAGCTCTATTTGTGAAGTTCATTTTTAGGCAAATGTATTCAGAGGAGGTTTGCTATGAATAGCTCTGTGTGTCAGCCGGGCCTAATTGGGATTAAGGCACTAAAACCATATGCAAAAACTGACAGAATTTCTCAGGTTTTCGAGAGCACCAAATTTTGCCCTCTTTTGATCCTCAGATCATTTAAGTGGACGCTGGGAAAAAAAGCTGAGGGAGTTTCGTGTGATGGTATATACAGATGGATCATTAGTTATTCCGTTGACGGCATTCTTTCAATTCAGTCGTGAATTGAAAATATGTTGAATAATTTGTGTCTTCATAATATTTTATGATGAACCCGAAAAGTAACTGTTCAGACACAATATTCATCAGGTAAGCTAAATATGTGGTTTTTAATGTAATTTGTAAGGAAAATTGTTACTTGATAAAAATGTTGTCTTTATGAGTTGAAAAATGTCACCTTGAGACCTGTAAATAAGGGCCTAGGGATTTATTTAACATAGAAAATAATTTTTTATTCATTTTGAATGAGACATTACACTTTTTTTGGCACACTTGAGTTTTTTTCTTTTAAATTTAATATGGAAATATTTTAAATATGGCTAATAAAAATAAATATTAAAAAAAAAACATTGCATTTGCCGTTGATTCTTATAATTTGTAACGGCAACATTTAAATCCTTTTTCAGCAGCTTTAAATGTGTATGTGGGCCTGGCAGGACCCTGGATAGCTCCCGTCTTTCAAAGGTCACATGGCCACTCACGTAAACGCCAGCTAATTATATTGATAATGCACGCATGCAGGCAATGCATGAGGCAGTTCATTTTTATCATGCCATAATGCATATCACCAACTTTAAAACGCCTATAGCTCGGATGCGCATTACATGACTGGCAAAAGGCATGCTAATGATATGAATCAGCGACCGTCACTGCGACTGTCTGTAGCCCCTCATTAATGGCCAGGATTGACATTTCTGGGGTTTTCATAATGTTCAGTGCATTTCTGCAGAGAAACAATGCAAGGCAAGTACTGGCCGTTAATTGCGCCTCCGTTTCGGGTGGGATGAGCTTGTGGAAATGATGACCGTGGATAAAATAGTAACGAGGGGCTATTGATTAACCCGATATGTTCAAGACCCTGAATCGTCCCAGTGCTGTCAATTAAAAAAAGGTCCAGCGAACTGGCCTGAGATAATAATAATAATAATATCATTTATAAATTAATAGGTCATTGTTATTATTAAACAAATTATTTTTGTTATTTTTGTTTCAGCTTTGAATATGAAATGAACTGCTGACGAAATATCCTAATAACGACTAAATGACTGAATAGCAGTTTTGACTTCTTTTAACTCGGCATAATCCCTTTTGCTTTAGATTAAATTATTAGTGTAATCAGGCCAATGATTCTCCCAGATCTGCCAAATAATGTCATAAAATAAAATAAAATTACCACTTATCTTAATAAACAGAAAGTCAACAAGGCTAATTAATTATTTGTGCTGAACAATATAATGCATAATGTCTAAATAATAAATCATAGTGTAGTGTGTTTTATAGGCATACAATTATATGAATACAATCCTAAATATGGAGAAAGCAAATACCTTACACTCAACTTTATTGTTGCTAATCATACTTGCCCTAAAATTCACACATATCATATGACAATGTGAGGAGGAGGCCTTTGAGTCATTCTTTCTTTTGTCACATACTGTAGGCTTCCTTCAATATTTAGACATCCTTGTCTCGATTGATTAGTTCTGGCAACCGTTCTGCATGTTTTAGTGCTTGTTCTGTGTGATCAGTAATATTTTATTTGCTGTAGACTGTCGACTCACAGGTATGAAGTGTAGTTTGTCAGTGCTCAAGGTCAGACTCATGCACATTTAAAGTCTGTGATGGATGCGTATAGTTCCTTTCATATATTAAATAGGATAAATTAACAGCGAGTTATATTAACATATTAAATTGTTAGTGTGCCACATGCCATGCTTTATATATCTGTGACTGTTTTGTGTCAGCTACTTGCTCCTTTTACCCACAGTGTCTGGCTTCTGTAGTTTTATGCTTAAGTACTCCAGTGCACATCTCCCTCACACTTCCAGACAGTTTGAGTGTTTGGCATGTTCCAGTGCGGACCGATCAGGATGGATCAGATGCAGAGGAGGAGGGCAGATTTGGATAGAATGGGGCCATACAGTGAGTGTGACTTCATGTTGTGGCAGTACCGTTCTTATGACGGCTTGCATGGGATTCCCCTTTGGCCAAAGAATCGAGGTGATACACTGAGCCTGGAGAGACACATCACACTCCCTGCCTTTATCCTAAGTTGTTTTCCTGTCTGTTCCTTCCTCATCATCTGTCTCCAACACAGTCATAATGTGCCCTGCGTCTACACCTGTTGATTGTGTGCACAAACAATGGAGAAACAAATCCTGCAAAACGATGTGATGCTCAGAGATTTATTGTGGACAAGCAATGCAAGACGCAAGCTGATCTTTGGTTTGTAAGGCACGCACATCTGAAGGCATGATTGGTGAGCAGAAAACAGCACTACTCTTCTTCATCAGCAGCTCCAGAGATGGAATACGATTTCTCCTGTGTGTTGCTCTCCAGTGTGTCGTCCTCAGTTTTAACGGTTCTGTGGGGAAAAAAGCAATGCAGAATCTAAGTAGCCTGGAATGAAACTCTAAAACAGAACACTTTTTATTTCATAAAGAAACAATATGTAAAGAGAGATACGGGAATGGGATTGGAATTTGACATAAGGTCAGAACTGAAGTTCTTGCACAAACACCGCAGAACGAACACATGCAAACCACTAAGTCACGGCTCTGACAAAAAGCTTGATTTTAATGCTACCTGATAAGCACAGTCTTCCTCTCCGTCATCTCCACAGCCTGCTCTTGAGTGTAGTCTACAGTGGCGCCTGGGCTGCCAACTCCACCGGTGATGCCATTAACAAGACCTCCTCCAATGCCTCCACCATTACCACCCCCAAGACCTTTGGAAGGACCACTGCCGATCCCTCCTCCAAGACCTCTGGCAAGCCCACTGTCTAGATCTCCTCCAAGACCTGTGGCTGGACCAACACCAGGACCTCCGGCCACTCTATCAGCAACTCCTGCAACACCTGCGGCTCCAGCACTGTGAACACTCATGCTGCCACTCGTGAAGGACATGGTCTGCATGCTCTGCATCACAGAAGCAATACGAGAGTCTTCACCCTCAATGAGCTTCCTGTGAACAAAAATTTAGAAGGAAGGATTGAAGAAAATAGAAGAAATTTCGTTTTCTTATACAGCAAATGTTTTCGTTTTCTCTACTTGATCAGCAAACATGGTCCAAATAGAACAACAACAGAATGGTACAGGCAAATATAAATAAATAGAAGGATAAGAGATAAATATCTCTGATGCATGCAATATTAAAGGGTCAGTCAAGTAAAAAGATCACATTGATTATATCTTGAAGGTATACGGAAAAATAGCACAAAAATAAATAAATAACAATCAAAGTTACAAAATATAGGTTTCCATAGGTTTCTGAAATAGATGTGACTTCTCATTAAATTAACCTGAAAGCTACAAGTGGTTTTGGAGTAGGTGGTATTTGTTTGGATTTAAAGAGTTTTTCAAGTATCTAAAATCTACCTGTATGTGGTAATTTCAATCTCCAGGGCCATCTTCACATTGAGCAGATCTTGGTATTCACGCAGGAGCAGTGCCGTCCTTTGTTTGGAGGACTTCAGCTCAAGCTGCAAGGCTTCAATTCTTGCCTGACAAAAAAAAATCAGAAGTCTTCAGAAATGCTAAGGTCATATTTATATTCATGCTTATGCTCAGATTTCTTTCTTTGATTTTACTTTGTATGTAGGCCAAGGCTTGATTATATGTGACTAGGTTTCTCACCTGGAGTTCCTCCAGTTCTTTTCTGTACTTTTCTTGAGTCTCACGGATCTGCGCTTCCAAAGCCTCATTTTTGGTTTTCAAAGAGTCCAGATCACGCTCCTTACTTTGAATCTAAAAACAAGCAGAATATTTAAAACAAGAGGAAACAAAGAATGAATGTTATACTGTAATCATTTTGAATATTGTTATTTTACCATTGTTATAGGAATCATATTATTGCCCAATTTAAGCATGTGTCAAGAGTGATCATTAATACTTACGTCCTTCTTCGCAGTTACAATTTCCTCTCGCACGCTTCGCATCTTGTCCACATGTTTTGACGTTTTGTTGTTGAGATCATTAAATTTGGTTTTGTACCAAGAGTCCATTTCCTGCAGAAAAACTGTTTGGTTAATATGAAGTCCAGGGAATGTTGTAACATTTTGTTTAAACATTTAACTCAATCATTTTTGTTTTTTATTTAGTTGTTTTGTTTGGTTTTTGTTTTTTCTTTCCCATTTTCATGCTTAAAATAATAGTTTATAGAACTGTGTGAATCAAGGTCAAGTACAAAGAGTGTTGTTTTTTTTTTTTTCAAACAAACTTAATTCCACAAAAAAATCTAAATAATAAAATAAACCCATACCACCCCTTTAATTTTAAACGTTTAAAATGGAAAACAATTAGCAACATTTTGTAACTGAAATATTTTAATTATTTATACAGAAACATTTAAACTAAAAGCTCCAGACAAAACTGTAATAATAATAATAATAACAACAACATTTTCCAATACAGATCATGTGTACAATGCTCCCCCTTTAGCAAAAATCCTCACCTGTAAATTCTTCGCGGCGATGTCGTCATACTGGTGTTGGATCTGCTTGATGGCGCTCGAGAGGTCTGGGAGGCTGTAGGCGTCTGCTGCTGAGGCGTGGGCCGCATATATCTGTTTCATAAGCTCTTCGATTTCCTGAAAATGTGCGGTTTTGAAAAATGTAATCATTTAGCTTTTTATTTATCAAGGGCAATATAACTATTTTGCGTTTTAATTACCTCTTTGTGTACTCTTCGAAGGAATTCTAGTTCCGCCTCTAGGTTTTCTAGCTGCTTCTCCAAAGCAATGCGCGCGGCGGTGGCGGCGTCCACATCCTGAGGTGATAAAAGATGTTCACCTCATTCTACCACTTTTTTTTTTGCTTATAAAACTAAATATTATAAGACAATTTTATGGTAATCATACCGGACGGAAGGCTTCAATATCAAGCTCGGCTTTCTTCCTCATCTCCAAGGCCTCCTCGTATTTCACCTTCATCATCTCCAGCTGACCCGCCATAGCATCCTTTGCAGCGATAGCAAGGTCCTTTAAAAGTAATTATAGGTATTATCATATAGACTATGTCTAAGTCTAATACTATTTTCCCCTCAATGCGAATCATCACCTGCTCCTTCCCTCTCTAAGACAACATTACCCTACTCAAAAAATAGCCTAGTGTAAATATTGATAAATAATTGATTTTATTTAGTTAATTTACGAATATACGTTAAACATGGCTGCATGTTAATTTACCAGGTGTACATTTATTGTAGACCTTTAAAATGTTTTTTGATGCTTAAGATTTGTCAAAAGATCAATTCGAATGACTATAGCTACCCGCTGTACTCTCATGTGGTCCGCCAGCCTCTTCAGCTCCTGGAGTTGTTCCTCGTACAGCAGGCGGAGGCCGGTGGGCTTCAAGTATCGATTCTTTAGGGCCTCGATTTCCATCTCCAGCAATTTGTTTTGCTGCTCCAGCGAACGAACCTTTGTTGCGACAGGAGAATAAGGCAACACAGTACGCGTGTTATGTGCTCTGTCTGTGTGCCCACAGAAGTGCGAATAATGCGCTTTATCTCGCGAGCCAGCAGTGGCATTTCCACACTGCCAGTGCCCGCGACGCATTCAAGCGTGGCCAAATCAGACAAATCCTGTCAAAGATGGCTCTAAAAATGAGGCTTTTTTCCAAGACCATTAAGAGCACTGTTAAATTATATTGCTTTTTTTT